GAATGGTAGTGGAGAGCAAAAGTGTCCCAAAAGGACTGTCAACTGGTCATCCTGCAGGTATTTTTGTCAACCCAACATAATGGTTCATGGAAACATCTTGTTCTGACAACTATCAGAAATATTTCAAGGGTTCCTAAACACTTCATTTTGAAGTTTTATATGTACTATTTAGAATAATTCTTTGGAACAATTTTTAGATATTGTAAAATGTTTTTCAAAGATGAGTTTACCCATGATCAAAATAGGAAAATACCTTTAAAATGAGAAGGACTGCATAAATACATAGAGGTAAATCTTTGTAGATGTTTTTACTATGTAAGCTAAAGCCCAAAATCTAAGGACAAGAATTAGAGAAAATACAAAAATACAAGGAAGATCAATGAGAATGAATTGTCTTAACTTTTATTTATTTCCGTTTATAGTTCTGGCACTGACACATTTTTTAAAAAAAGATTTTAATTTTATGTAAAGATAAACTTCAATAAAATAACTTAAAAAACATTTACATATACATCACTAAATCTCCATAAAATATACAATACTTTTGATACAGCTATAGGCTAGAATGACTTTGAAGAAATTATACATATTCATAATTTTTAAGACATATCTCATGTCACATGTAGGAATAAATACTTAGATTGGATTTGCCAAGACATGAATATTAAACACTCCATGACATGCACTCAGAAAATAAAATATATACTTTGAAAACATTTTAAAAGCATAAAACAATTTAGATTTAGTCTAGATATACATTAGAGCTTCTAAATAGAATTCTGAACATTATAAATAAAAGATATTATAACATCAAGTGAAATATAGTCCAAAAGATGTTAAGAACCAGTTTGGACATGTAGAGTATAAATTTTCTACTTTGGCTAGAGTTCAGTCTCATCTTTTTTTAACCTTGAAATGAGATGGAATGCTACTTGAATATTAAAATTTGCTAACATTTTAAAACTTTACAAAATACTGGTTTTTATCTTTTAAGTACGTGTAGGCTGCATTTTCTCATTTATATTGATATGACAAACACAAGAACTTAACTGTCTAAAACAAAAATCTGAATATTACTGCTAAACAAAGGTAGGTATTTAACATTCCACAGACCAAATCACTCAAGTGCAGCAGACTATTTTATACGTACAAAGTAATGATTTATAGGAATTATATTGTTTAACACTCACAAGCAAATCTGGATAAAATTCTTTCATGTATTTCTGAGCATGATTAATACTTATAAAATATCTCTCTGATGATTATTGGCACACAAAAATTTCCTTCTTTAAGAGACAATATATAAGAGAGTTGATAGCAGTTAGCTGTTTGGCATTTTTAAATAATGCTATTTCTAGAAAACAGCAAGATTGTCCACCCAGAACTGCATGAACCAACCTTTGATTCACTGCTATAACCTGAATCACTTCACCAATTAGATTAACATTACTGTACATGAGGCTAAGAAAATTAATAGAATATGACAGAAAACAGGACATTAAAACAGAACAATTCTGATTTTTTTTAAAGGCAGCATTTACACATGAGCTGTAAATTTTATCCACAATTTAATACATTTTGTTATAAAGCACATATTATGAATTCTCTGCTTCTGGCCAGGTATATCATTCTTGTATTTGTTGTTAGTGAAAACGTCTGAATTTGGTAATTGAAAACTTGTCACAACTGTCAATTATTGGGTGCTTAATATAATTTGAGATTTTATGTAAGAGAATGGTTTAAAAAATCTGATTATAATAAAATATCTCATGTTGTTTTTAATTACTGTGCCTATGAAATAAAATCAAAACAATCCTTCCAGTCCCCTCACTGTATTCCAGTATTTATAAACTATATTAGTGTCATTTAGATTGAGAGGTTGTCTTAGATAACATATGGATAGTATTTTCTAAAATACTCCCCCCTGGATCTATGGATTATTATAATGCATTTCAATTTTACTTTCTGAAGAAAAAGAAAAAGGACAAGTTGTCAACTTATGTTTTTCCTGTTCATTCTTCCACTGGATAATTGATTTTGAAATTAGAGTAAATAATTTCTAAATTCTTTAACAGATTTGTTTTAGAGTGAATTACTTAAAAAACATGTTTATATTCATATATTTAATCTTAATTAGTGGTAAAATAAAGCTATGAGAAAGCACTTGATAGCATTACCCTCATAGCATTTTCATCAGTGAACTAACTACTGCATATGATTGGGAACAAAATTTCAAACTTTTTAAGTCTACTTTTAATTTAGACATTTTACATATACATAAAATCATGTGCTTGGTAATTATTGACTAAGGTGCATCAATCAAAATTATTAGGAATGTTTATATCGAAGAAAAATATTAATACCAAATCTTTAAAACCTAGCTGACATCACTTTTAGACGTAAGTGTTCAGATGCAGATGGAAAGTTCTATTTCTCAAGTCTAGTGCAGATCCCATCAGCCATTCAGCTAATAAGCCTTAACAGGGGTTACAGCTTTCTTCACTATGTTTTCCTAAAACTCAATATAAATCTGTTGAACTTGCAGCATGTCTAGAAGCAGACCTATAATTTCAAATAAATACATGATGCTTAATGCATTTTAATATGGTAGGTTAAACCATATATAAATTATCCTATAAAATATATATCTGATGATATTTCAACAGAATGTTTTCAAGTTGATAGTGGTAGCTAATAATGCTAGAACTTAAAAAAACTTTCAAAATTCAAACATTAAATTTTTAATATACTATAAATATTCACTGAATCTAAAAATAATCCCTAATTATATAAGGTTCCTTTTGAAGTAGTTATTTGTTTTTAAAAAATTATAAATAATTCTTATACTGTGCCTCTCTGTTCTGTACTTCAAAGATATGGAATGTTATCTTTATCGCTATATAAATAACAAATAGTCCTTTAAAGAAGGGGTTGAGGAGGACTGTGGCAAATTTTCCCTGTTATAATGTGCATTTATGGGTATAAAGTTGAAAATACCATTTGCATATATCAGGGAAACTGGCCATGTTCTGCTTTACAAAAAAATAAGAGTTGAGTTGCTCCTTTAATAAAGTTACTGTGCATTCAGCCCAGCTGAGTTAAGGCTACATATATAATAAAGAGAAGAACTGAGGCAATTATTTGGATAAATCGGAAGAATTCTTAAGGTGAGTACTTTATTGGTCTAAATATTTTTTCTCTCCATCATATTTTGATTTTAATATACAATAGACCCTTCCCTTTCCATTTCACTGTACCTTATGAAATGTTACATAGGTAAGAAATATCAATAGAATAATAAATTTCTCTATGAAATCACATTTGCTTCTTATGGGACAAATTAATATTAACATCCATTTGAAAATCAATTGTCAAAGCACCTAATTCAAGGAAAAAAAACACTCTGTAAAATAAATGTTTTATTATATGCAATGATCAAAGCGAGAAAATTTTTTTACCAGTAAAGTGACCATTAAAGCACATATCACACACCCCTGGTGTCTTAGAGAATGAATCTTTTTGGCTACATTCGCAGCTTTGACATTGTGATGTGAACAAGCCAGACTTAAAGAGAAGAAAAAACATCTTGGAGACTGGCAGAAACACAATGAATTTAGCGATAGCCACCTTTTCACTCCCAAGAATACCTTATTAGATCTTTAGAGCCATGTTAAAATGAATCACACTTATGCATTCATAGCTGGCCAAAGAAGAGTCATTCAGAATTTCACTGGAACTAGCGAGTAACTTTGTATATATTGTATAGTTCTTAATATATAAGAACGAAAATTAGAGTTTATTGATGAAGGAACATAAAAACCAATAAACACTTTGAAAAGACATTATAGAAATGCAGAAAGTCAACATTTCTTAAAGATGTGTGCTATATGAGAACCATTAATCTATTCCTATAGTAAATCACAATTTTTAGACAAGAAGGGAAAAAATCCAAGTTAAATATGAGTAAAAGGAAACATACACAGACAAATCTATGTGTTGTTTTTGGGGGGTTAGGGGATGTAAATTGTCAGGGAAAATGAGAAAGGGTGTGCAAAATAAAAAAATTAGTTTATGCTCTTACAGTAAAAAAAACAAAACAAGTACTATTAAGTAAAAAAAAAGTGACAGTTCCCTTAGGAAAATTAATAAAAAGTTAAAATAATTTAAAAATAAGTCCCACTATTTAAATAAATAGCAACAATAGCAGGATTATTTGTCACTGATTTTCTTCCTTTCTTGTTTCAGAAATTATTTGAATAAAAGAAGGGAGAAATAGTCTGATAGCAGCTATTTATATAACACAACTGAAGGCACACATAGGACTCAAGAATTGATGTGCAAAGGTGTGGTGAGTATCAAGTGATTTTGGCATGTACAAAAACCAACCCTGAAATGCTGTTGAAGATCTGGTGCTATTTATATTTATAGTTCCATACCTAAGTGACTAACTCAATTAGGGATCCATAAAAATCTTTTCTTTCTGACATTTCTAGCAATAAAATATACTTATCAAAACTTGCTAGCTTATCTGTGCAAATGTACACTTATCACTGATGCAAAAAATATGTATGAAAATATACCCCAAAAGACCTGCTTTTCATAATGTTCAAAAGATCCTGTGTGGAGTCAATTGCTGAAGAACAATCAAGATCTGACTTGGAACGAGAAACCAAAATGTGGAATCCAGAGGAGATAAGACAGCTGTGCCCAAGTAGGAGGCACTTGAATTTGTTGATGAAAGCTTAATGGAATTTACTTTCGAATAGCTGATCATAGATAAGATACTTGTCCTTGGAAAATTTAGGGCCAATAGGCCAGGTTTTGATAGAAAACATCTTAGACCATATCCTAGAATGCTTCTTTATATCACATACATGATTCAGCTAGATTAGCACTGACTTAATTGCCACTAATAGTTATATATGGTCTTGGGAAAAAAGGATACCACTGAAATCACTGAATACAATATTCATTTTAGACTATCTCAGGACCACATCAGAAGCATCATTGTCAGAAAGATGATAGTTACTTCCCTTTACCCTAATATATTCAATATATCTCCCTTCATCAGAATCAGTAGCGCCACATGTACAGAGCCTGTTGTCAAAGAGTGATTCAATTTCCTCTAATTTTTTCCCTTTGGTCTCAGGAAGACAGCCATAGATGAAAAGGAGTCCCACAGCAGCAAATCCAGCATAGAGGAAGAAGGCTCCTGCGATGGAAAATAATGTACAGTTAAGTCCTCAGTAGGTTCTTAGAACTGAGGCAAGATGATACTCAGTTGATTCCTGAACAAGAGTGGGGTTAGGAGCCCTGTGCAGTTGAAAATCCACATGTAACTTTTGCCTCCTCACAAACTTCACTAATAGCCTAAACCTAGTGTGACCGGAAGCTTTATTGTTAACATAGTTATGTCGTATGTATTAATACTGTATTCTTACAGTAAGTAAGCTAGAGAAAAGATACTATATTAAGAAAATAATAAGGATAAGGCAATACATTTACAGTACTGTATGCATTTATTAAAAAATCCATGTATAAGTGGAACTGTCATTCAAATTGTGTTATTCAAGGGTTGACTGTGTAATGAAACCAATTTTACTATAGACTAATTGATATAAATTAGAGTTGTTCTTGCTGCATCTCATCAATGTAGTAACAAAACAATACTGAGTGCAACTAAGTTATTTGAGGCCCTGCTGTGTATATGTGTGCCTAGGATGGAAAGAGGGCTTGGTTTTAACTTTTTTTTCTGGTCAATGATGCATCATTAACTGTGGTCTGAAATGGAACCAAAAAATTACTGCCAGCTAGGTCACTCTAATTGTTCTAACCCTATGAATAGAATGCAATTTATTTTTCTAAAGTCATGTAATGCCAAACTCAAGAACTATAGCCCAGGTTCATATATAACTTCTGCTTTTAGGTCTTCCCTCCCCTCCCTGGCTGGAGATAACTGCTGCTTTCCTATGAGTTTTCATAGCACTTTGCTGAGGCCCCCTATCAGAGTAACCAAGAAGTATTATAATTATGCACATTTATTTTGTCTTATCTGCTAGGCTGGAGGGAGAAATTTCATTCTCATTTATCTTATATTTCTGCAATGACATCAAATTATGACACTGCTGATTTCAGGACCTAGTGGAGTACATGGCAACACTACCCTTACAGTCTCTCATGCCCAAAGTCTGGAGTCAGCCTTGACATTTTTCTCACTCTCCCCTCCAATATCCAATCTGTTAAGGAAATCCCGGTGAATCTACTTTCATAATCTGAGAGATGACACTTCTAACTGTTGCACTGATACCATCCTCCCTCATCTGCACTGTTGCCAATAGTCTCCTAATTGGTCTCCTTGTGCCTTCTCTTAGACCACTCTAGTCCAGTTAGCACCATCTGACATACTACAAAGCTTATTTTTTTATTTAAGAATTTTTTTTCTGGTATAAATTTTTTTTAAAATATTCTACTTATAGTTGACATACAATATTATATTAGTTTCAAGTATACAACATAGTGATTAGACATTTGTACAACTTATGAAGTGATCATCCTGATAAATCTAATACCCATCTGACACCATACATGTTATATTATTGACTATATTCCTTATGCTGTACTTTACATCCCATGACTATTTTTATAACTACCAATTTGTACTTCTTAATTCCCTTTTTTTTTTTATCCATCTGCCCACCCCTTCCTATCTGGCAACCATCATTTGTTCTCTGAATCTATGAGTCTATTGGTGAGCATTTAGGTTGCTTCTATTTCCTGGCTATTGTAAATAATGCTGCAATGAAGTGGACTTGTTGGGTCATAAGGTAGTTATATATATTTTTAGTAACCTCTATACTGTTTTCCATAGTGGCTGCACTAATTCACAATTCCACCAACACTGAGGGTTCCCTTTTCTCCACATGCTCTCCAACACCTATTGTTTCATTGATGGTAGCCATTCTGACAGGTGTGGGGTGATATCCCATGGTAGTTTTAATTTGAAATCCCTGATGATTCGTGATATTGAGCATCGTTTCATTTGTCTACTGGGTATATGTACTCTATCACTTTTTTAATGGGATTCTTTTTTGGTATGATTTCTTTACATATTTTGGATATTAATCCCATGCAGGATGTATCATTGGCAAATATCTTCTCCTACTCAGTAGGTTGCCTACTCATTTTGTTGATGGTTTCCTTCACTGTGCAAAAACTTTTTATTTTGATGTAGTCCCAATTTTTTATTTTTACCTTGCCTAAGGCGACATATACAAAAAAAATATTGCTAAGAGCAATGTCAGAGTTTACTGCTTATGTTTTCTTTTAGGAGTTTTATAGTTTTGGTTCATACTTTAAATGATTCAATTTCATTTTCTTGCAAATATCTGTCCAGCTGGAGAAACTAAGATGGCGGCAGAGATAAACACCGGGAAATTAAGGCCGCTCACAACAATTGATTAATACCTCAGAGAAACAATACGGACTTCATCCAGAACCATAGGAAGCCTGGCTGACAGTAAACTCTACAACTAGAAGGAAGGAAACGCACACTGAGACCCAGAGAAGCTGCAGGAGAGAAGCGCAGAGGTACGGGGCTCGCGCGCGCGGAAAGGGGCTGGCACCCGAGGACGCGGCGGTCTTTTGGAATCCGGAGGGAGTCTCAAGCTCCCGAGGGCTCTGAACTCCAATCTCCAGTTTCAGGCGAGTCTCTGGGGACCCAGACTCATATGGGGGGAAACTGGACTGTCTGGCACCCGTTGGAATGCGAGGGCGGCTTTCTCTCAGAGGTGCTGGCAGTGATTACCGGGACACTGAAACTTGGGGCCTCTTAGCGTAGGACTGAGGATCAGCCATTGCTGT